CGAAAAGATTGAGACTCTTTTGTTTATTTGATGCTAACTACACTGGTTTTTTTGTATAGATAGGTCCGACAAATGACTCCACCCCACCTGATGTTAAGTGAAGGTGAAGTCTAGACGCGAAGATAGCTGATACAGCAGTTCGACCTGCCACACCAGCCATCCTCACCCTGCCGGCCTGCATGTTGCTTCTTCACGCCTCTTTTCACACTGAAAATTATGCCTAATATACATATTCAATAAAAAGGATAAGTGTTGGAATTGTTGTGGTGAAAAATTACAAAGGTATATCTCCTCCGAACCTGCTATTCGTTCAGGGACCGTCGGTATGCCATCATCATCCTATCAGCCGTACGATGCCCACTACTGAGCATAAGCTTAGCCCAAGGATCGCCACACCGATCGGTCTACGGTTATTCGCAACTAGGGGCTTCCCGTGACCTTCACTAGATCATCAGTCAACCACGTGGATAGCCTACCCACTGAGCGCTGTTGGGTGAGCGGTCTCTCTTGTCTTGTCTTGTCCCTCCAAATGTCAATAAGTTTTGTATGAAAATTTAAACAGCGCCACAACAACAATTATAATTCTAAAATATCTTCGTGCTAAAGGTACTGTACTACCTATATGGATGCCAGAGATCGAAGCTTGAAAGTCATGTTTCCGTCCTCCAATCGTAGGTCCCTCCGATTCCGTCGGCCTAGGCACGTCTTAGAGTACCCCGACGACGAAATCACCCGCACCAACGCGCCTCCGACTCCTCACACACAGGCTACAATCACCAACACTACACAGCTAGCATACTCGCATACTAGCTTAGCATTAGGCAGATACAACACCCGTAGGATAAGAGTGCGAAGACTCGGTCTACACACGACACCCTTTACCAGGTATAGGTACGTACCTGGGCGTTTTTCACCGCCCCCCACGACAACGGCTAACTAGAGCTGAGGTCCGAGTCTCAGAGACTCTCTCTAGTTGAGCCGGCCCCCTCAGGTTCGAGTGGTCTAGAGGGTCCAGACGGATAGGAGACTCCCCATGGGGATATGCCATCCGCCTGGAATACCTCGCCTCGCACTCGCCAATTCTCGGCTTGAAGTCCCGTTAGGATCTCGCTGTCCCGAATCCCGGTAACGCTGTAAAGATCATCTGCGACTAACAGCACTCAAAAAAAAAACAGGTGAGCGGTCGCTTTCCGCCTAAACGACCATTGGTTCTACTCGCTACGGTTTGAGCTCACTGTTACTTCAATAATTGCAATCATTTGAGGCGGATTCCCTCATTTCTGATTCTATCGCACAGGGAAATACTGAGCAATACTCTTGCTATAATATCATCGTTGGAACTTTATAGTTTTGTCTTGCTGCAATGTTTGCATTTTGTTTACGTTTCGCTGATCATGAATTAAGTAGCGATATTGTCGCGGTCGTTGTTACGGCGTGTATCTTTAGGCAGTGTTCACACTGAACGTACTGTTCACCGCTCCATGCAAGAGAACGTTGCGAAGTTCATTACTTTCTAATTCAACTTTTTGTTTAGACCAGATATTTGACTCGGGTTTCATTCGATCAATCACTTCTTTAGGCTTTACTACCAGTTCTTATTCCTGTGTCCAGTAACCTGAATGAGCCATCGCCGAATCAGACAACCCGGAGATCTTGTGGTTCTTACGCTACATGCGCGATTGTTTGTTTATTCAGTGGAGGCGTTACTATAGTCTATTCACATTGGCGTGGGACAAAAGGTAAACAAAACAAAAAAAGGATTGTTTGATGTTTGACAAAAGTAAAGATTAATAGTACATTACGATACGCGTAACCTAAGTTGCCTATTACTGCACGGCGTGAAGTTAGCGCCCGAGCGGAGCCGAGCGAGAGTGATAAACGTCGTGCAGTAATAGACAACTTAGGCCACAAGTATCGTATACTATTTTATAGCAAGTGTGACATAAACCCGCCCCGGACGCGGGCAAGAGGGGGAGGGATGCGATTAGTGTTTTGAAAGTAAAATTCATGTATTGCAATCACAAAGAATTGCAATACAGACTGCAAGTCAAACTCTGAAAAGAAAGAATTCCGGTTCAGATTACCACTTTGAAAGTATATTTTTTTTTTTTTTTTTTTTTTTTTTTTTTTATGCTAAATAGGCAATGCGTTTGACCACAATCTCACCTGATGGAAAGCGATGATGAGGCCTAGGATGGTACACGCCTGCCTAGAAGATGCCTGTTCACTCTGGCCTTGAAGATGTCCAGGTTATATTGGTCCGGGAAAACAGACCTCGGCAAGGAGTTCCACTCCCTAGCCGTTCGTATAATGAAGGCCGAAGCAAATCGCTTCGTGCGAATAGGAGGAACTTCGACAACATAAGGGTGGAAGCCCTCGCCGCGCCTGGTCGTCCGGTGGTGGAAAGGGGAAGGGGGGATCAAATTATGTAATACCTCCGCACACTCTCCGAAATGTAACCTATAAAACACCGAAAGGCAAGCTACACGTCTTCGGTGGTCGAGGCTCTGAAGATTAGCCTCAACGAGAGCGTCATTGCCTATGAGTCTCTTCGCACGGTGTTCCACCGAGTCCAGTGCATCCAGCTGATACCGAGCAGATCCGTCCCAAAGGTGACAACAGTACTCCAAGCAGGAGCGAACTTGGGCTCGGTAAAGGTTAAGGAGCTGCTCAGATGTAAAATATCGCCTGACCTTAGAAAGTATTCCAAGTTTTCTGGCAGCGGTTTTAGCAATGGACTCGATGTAGGGACCGAAATTGAGGCTGGATGAGATGTCCATACCCAAGAGCTCGAGATGGTCTTTAACCGGCACGGAGACATTTCGGAAAGTCGGAGTCAGATGGAATGGACTCCGTTTCGTCGAGAAGAGACAGGCCTGTGTTTTAGAGGGATTGAATCCAACCAAGTTGGCTTCACCCCAGAGGGAAACAGCTTCCAGGGTTGCATTCACTCCCTCCACCATCGCCTCCCTTAATGATCGGACATCTGCATTAGACTTTACATCAGGCAGATATCTCCCCGAAACTGTGCTGTCATCTGCATACCCAAAGATACCAGGAGTTAGGAGCAGATCATTGATGTGCAGCAAGAATAGAGTTGCGGAGAGGACAGATCCCTGGGGGACACCGGCATTAATACCAAGCAGATCCGACGATGTGCCATTAATGACCACTCGTATCGATCTGCCCCTCAGAAAATCTGCAATCCAGTTGCAAAGTCCGACAGCGATTCCATATGAAGGAAGCTTGCCAATGAGACTTGCATGCCAGACCCTGTCAAAAGCCTTAGAAATATCAAGAGAAACGGCGAGAGCTTCGCCGCGTTTCTCTATGGCTTCACTCCATAAGTGGGTAGCATACACAAGAAGATCCCCAGTAGATCGCCCACGGCGGAAACCGAATTGGCAGTCACTGAGGAGATCGTTATCTTCGAGGTAAGCGAGGAGACGGTTGTTCAATACACGCTCCATAATCTTACAGAGTATGGAGGTGATTGCAATAGGTCGATAGTTGGCAGGGTCGGCACGACTACCCTTTTTGGGCACTGGTTGGACATTGGCAAGCTTCCAGGTTTTCGGAACTTGGCCAATCTCAAGGGATAAGCGATATAGGCGAGTCAGAATAGGAGACAACTCAGGGGCACAATTCCGCAGGACAATAGCTGGAATGCCATCGGGCCCACTGGCTTTATTCACGTCTAGAGTGCTTAGCGTTTTTAGTACCTCTTTCTGATGGATGCGAACTTCCAACATGGCAGAAGAACACTGAGGAAGCTTAGGTGGGTTTACGCCAGCAGCATCTAGCTGTGAGTTATTCGCAAATATAGAGGCAAACAAGTCAGCCTTCTCTTTGGAGGTGTGAGCCAGCGATCCGTCAGGTTTAATTAAAGGCGGCAGCGACGACCGGCAAAAATTGGCTTCGACTGTTTTGGCTAGGGACCAGAAAGCCTTGCTTCCGGATGGAAAGGAGGCTAATTTGGCTCCTATACGGCCAATGTGATCGAAGCGGGCCTTGCGGAGAACACCTTTACAGGACTTGGCGGCACTGTTAAAGGCCTTCTTCAGACTTCGAACATTTGGTGATTTGCGGGCTCGAGCATCCGCCCAGGAGCGATACGCAAAATGCTTAAGCGCCTCCGCTTCAGCACAGTCCGCATCATCATTTGAAAAGGAAAAAATCAAATATCATTACAACAAAATAGAATTAGAAAATGTATCCATGAACGTTTATTCCTTGATTGGCATAGTAAAGTTTAGTTACGCGTATCGTAATGTACTAATTCTACATGAGTGAAGTTGGTCAATTCATTTACACACCGTGCAGAAATAGGCAACTTAGGTCACGGAAAAGCGTGCGTAAAGTGCGGGTTTAGGTCACACTGTGCTATAAATACTATTTACATAGGCAATGCAGGGAGTCATAAGTTAATTATTTTAAAAGCTGGTACATACATATGAATAAGAAAATAAAATATTTCACACATATTTAACATACATACTAATCATTAATTCGTATAATTTTATTTTGTTGATAAAAGAATTTTAACAACTTAAGTTGACATGGAAAAAGACCTAAAAAAACAAACATTCCCAAACTTAAGACATATTATAATACGACAAAATTTAAGAGTAGACATGATATAAGTCACAACACTTCAACGTAAAATACGTTGAAGTGTTGTGTTTTGTAATCGGTTGGTTTATGTTAGCCATTTTTACTCTCCCGATCAACCTGTTGACGCGAGCGTGCATATTCTATCATATTTGTTAAATTCTTGTTATTTCCTTATTTTATTTGTTGAGTTTCTTGTTAGTTTTTTCTGTTCAGTTTGAAGTTGCTAATAAATTATAGGTAACATAAATTATACGTAATCATTGACTAGTGGGTACTTTCTGACTTCATAAAAGTTTTTGAACCTCAGATTCTTTGTTTACATTTTGTCTCACGCCAAAGTGAATAGACTATATGTTTCATTTCAATGCTTGTATTTCTTGTTCCAGAGAGCTGAACGAGCTCCGCCGCCCGGTGTCGGACAACCCGGAGATCCTGCGCTTTTTCCGCTACATGCGCGCGGCGCGGCGCGGCCAAGAGGGCACGGACTGCGCACGCGCGCATCCAGCCTGTGCCGCCACCGCTGCGCCCGCGCACACCATGATAGCGGCCTACCACGACATCAACAAGCTCGTCACCGCTAGGAAACTGAAGAACTGAACACTGTGAGTGAAAAACTTGCAGCCTAATGGAAGCTTAACTCTAATCTTAAGAGGTGTCATTTCTTCCGTCAGTTTGCAAATGCTACCGTATAATGGACGCCTATCTCTAATCTAAAGAGTGCCATTAGACGGTTAAGAGTTAGGTGTCCATTAGAAGGTGGGTTCTCCTGTCAATTTACTGGCAGTCAAGGTTATGACTGATGTATATCTATATATAGCCAGCCGTATAATGCCGTGACCAATGACTTTTTAATTATCCGTTTTATCATCATTCATGACTCTCTAATCTAAAGTGGTCCCATTAGACGGTTTCGAGTTAGGTGTCCTTTAGAAGGTAGGTTCTCCTGTCAATTTGCTGGCAGTCAAGGTTATGACTGATGTATATCTATATATAGCCAGCCGTATAATGCCGTGACCAATGACTTTTTACTTATCCTTAGACCTTTTAGTTATCCGTTTTATCATCATTCATGACTCTCTAATCTAAAGTGGTCACATTAGACTGTTTAGAGTTAGGTGTCCTTTAGAAGGTAGGTTCTCCTGTCAATTTGCTGGCAGTCAAGGTTATGACTGATATATGATATAGCCAGCCGTATAATGCCGTGACCAATGATTTTTTACTTATCCGTTTTATCATCATTCATGACTCTCTAATCTAAAGTGGTCCCATTAGACGGTTTAGAGTTAGGTGTCCTTTAGAAGGTAGGTTCTCCTGTCAATTTGCTGGCAGTCAAGGTTATGACTGATATATGATATAGCCTGCCGTATAATGCCGTGACCAATGACCTTTTAGTTATCCGTTTTATCATCATTCATGACTCTCTAATCTAAAGTGGTCCCATTAGACGGTTTAGAGTTAGGTGTCCTTTAGAAGGTAGGTTCTCCTGTCAATTTGCTGTCAGTCAAGGTTATGACTGATATATGATATAGCCTACCGTATAATGCCGTGACCAATGACTTTTTAGTTATCCGTTTTATCATCATTCATGACTGATGGAATAGGCTCACGGCTGCATGAACGTTTAATACGAAGCCCTAGACATGAAGATGACTATGATATTTATCAGAGGCGTACAGTCAGATGCAGCTTTCTTGATTTGCCTACGTAGCAAAACATATAATGTAAATTGAAAAACAATACACAGATTGTTCATATCTTGTAGTAAATTTTTAGTTCCATGCGCCATAATCAAAAACAACTCATCGAAGAAAAGGCGAGAGTGCTGTGAATTTTAAAAATAGCAATTACGAGTAACTTTAATAAATAGTCCCACGCAATGCCCTCAGTATCAGTTTAGTTGAACCTCTGTATTTCTTTACTCTTTGACTAAGATACGACGCACATCGCAGCATGGACTATTAGGTAAGCCAAAAGCCTACCATAACAAACTCCAAAAGACATGTCACTCTATTGGTTCCGACATCCATCACGATGTAATGGATCCCATTACACCGACGCCAGGCTTTTATTATTTCTTCTTCTTACTTGGCTTTGAACGTGTTGGCAGGTTGCCAATCAACACTGACACGTTACCCGAATTATGGCTGATATGAAAATAGAAAATTTTCGGTCATGCTATTATTACAAACTTTATAGGTATGTAGGTACATCATTAACCCTTTGGAGGGTTGCTTGAATGTCGAAGGTGAGACCACTATATGCACACAATTTGTATTGACACTCTAAGAACATTGTCTAGCCCATTGTAAGTGTCGCTATTTCTGTAATATTGTGGATCATCTATTGCCCGCCAGTTTTTCTTCACGTCTAAAAAGATCTTGGTTTTTTTTTGGCTGTTACCTAGTGTTACGGCCAGATTACTCCTTACCTATTTACTGCGATTTTGCAGAGTCATATAAATATACAATGTCACGATGACAATCAAGGAATCTAAAGGTTTGTTTATAACTAAACAATGGTATCGTAAAGCAAAGTTTAACATGAGTCCCTCCTTTTCATTATATATCTCATATCACTACATAGTAGCAATAAAGCAAAGTCGCTTCCCGCTGTCTGTCCCTATGTCCCTATGCATGCTTAGATCTTTAAAACTACGAAACGGATTGTGATGCGGTTTTTTTTAATAGATAGAATGAATCAAGAGGAATGTTTATATGTATAATACAAGCATAATATATTTATTTATTTATTTACTAATTTAGTACACACACAATAAAATAGATAAGAACAGGAATATAGTAGAGAAACACTGATAATTTTAGAGGTTTTTAATGTAAGGTCGTAAATAAACACATTTTTTGCGCATACATTGTAAACGCAGGCTGAACCCTACGAGATAGATCAAAATAATGTACTACAGTATTGTACACCTTAGAAAGGTCTAAAAAAAGTCCGCGATGGTATATGTCTATCTCATAGGGATAACCCACAATAATCATTTTTTATCTTATACTTTATACGAAAAGTAATAGATTATTTACGAAGCGATTTTCAGCAATATAACAATTATCCTGATCCAATTAAGTACCTTAAATACATTGTACATTTAATATAGACCAAATTGGCCCTTTAACGCATGTAATTTAAATGAATATTTTCGAAGATATTACGGACTTAAAATGCAGAGACATAGCGGTTCCGACGCTACCGAGCGGGGGGCTTGGCGGCGCGTGCCTATTGTAATTAGCTATTAGAAGAATGTCATTGTGTATAATACAAGTCTGAGAACAAAAACTATAGTCTACACTACAGCTCTACACCGAAGCGGAGCGAGGGTGGGCCACTAGTAGAGTATAAAAAGGAGGTACAGTTGTTTATAAGTTTATATTATTTGTATTCACGGTTTCTTTTGTTATCAAAAGAGACCGTATCATCATCTGCAGTCGTTAGCACCTACCAATCAACACTGGGTCCGCGTGGTGGGTCATGGCCCAATCTCCTTATTCCCTCCATAGGAATGGCCTGTGCCCCTGTGTAAATAAATAAATGAGACGTGGTACAAGGCTAAAACTTGATAAAATTTGAATTAAGAACTTTGGTGAAAGTGGGCCTTAATCTAGTACCTAGTACGGCCAACGAGAAGCAATACAAAAGTTCATTCGCCTTTGACGAAACTATGGGACTGAGAGTCTCATACCTTTTTCTTTCATCGCATATATGTGTCATTAAGTCTCACTCATTAGGCCATGTGACCGCCCAGGCGCCAAGTTCCCCAATATTAGAGTGGCGATTTTATGATAAAAAATAATGACATATTTTAATTTCGTTCCCGGTCTTTCCGATACTACTCATGGTAATAACTTATATTTGTTTTGTTTTTTGAACTGTTATGATATTCAGTTTTTTAAATATAATTATTTATAAAAACACAGTTCTCTATATTTTACTAAAATATTGCATATTTAAAATAATAAAAGTCCTATGTTAATTTTCATTAACAAAACGTAATTTTCAAAAATGTTGCCATCACTTGACTGCTTTGATGTAGTGCTTCTCGTTACTTTAGTATAACTATTACAGATTTCTTTTTCATGCACAACTTATAAGTGCATGTTGCAAACCCGGTGAAAAACCGGTCGTTAACATTCGCCCCTTGCTGCGCCTGTACATCAAAACAAAGTAGGGCAAATAAGCATTTGGTCAGCCAAAACTGGCTCCTATAACCTCAAGTCACTTGCACGATTACCACATGCGTTGCCTTCCACGACCCCAATCATTGCACGCTGAAACAACACAATTCATTTTTTTTTTCAATTCTAACCTACCTACCACGAGCCCAATCATTGCACGCTGAAACAACACAATTCATTTTTTTTCAATTCTAACCTACCTACCACGACCCCAATCATTGCACGCTGAAACAACTTAATTCATTTTTTTCAATTCTAACCTACCTACCATGACCCCAATCATTGCCCGCTGAAACAACACAATTCATTTTTTTTTCAATTCTAACCTACCTACCATGAGCCCAATCATTGCACGCTGAAACAACACAATTCATTTTTTTTCAATTCTAACCTACCTACCACGAGCCCAATCATTGCACGCTGAAACAACACAATTCATTTTTTTTCAATTCTAACCTACCTACCACGAGCCCAATCATTGCACGCTGAAACAACACAATTTTTTTTTTTCAATTCTAACCTACCTACCGCGATCCCAATCATTGCACGCTGAAACAACACAATTCATTTTTTTTCAATTCTAACCTACCTACCACGACCCCAATCATTGCACGCTGAAACAACACAATTCATTTTTTTTCAATTCTAACCTACCTACCACGACCCCAATCATTGCACGCTGAAAAAACACAATTCATTTTTTTTTTCAATTCTAACCTACCTACCACGAGCCCAATCATTGCACGCTGAAACAACACAATTCATTTTTTTTCAATTCTAACCTACCTACCACGACCCCAATCATTGCACGCTGAAACAACTTAATTCATTTTTTTCAATTCTAACCTACCTACCATGACCCCAATCATTGCCCGCTGAAACAACACAATTCATTTTTTTTTTTCAATTCTAACCTACCTACCACGAGCAGAATCATTGCACGCTAAAACAACACAATTCATTTTTTTTTCAATTCTAACCTACCTACCACGAGCCCAATCATTGCACGCTGAAACAACACAATTATTTTTTTTTCAATTCTAACCTACCTACCGCGATCCCAATCATTGCACGCTGAAACAACACAATTCATTTTTTTTTCAATTCGAACCTACCTACCACGACCCCAATCATTGCACGCTGAAACAACACAATTCATTTTTTTTTCAATTCTAACCTACCTACCGCGATCCCAATCATTGCACGCTGAAACAACACAATTCATTTTTTTTCAATTCTAACCTACCTACCACGAGCCCAATCATTGCACGCTGACACAACACAATTCATTTTTTTTCAATTCTAACCTACCTACCACGAGCCCAATCATTGCACGCTGAAACAACATAATTCATTTTTTTCAATTCTAACCTACCTACCACGACCCCAATCATTGCCCGCTGAAACAACACAATTCATTTTATTTCAATTCTAACCTACCTACCACGAGCCCAATCATTGCCCACTGAAACAACACAATTCATTTTTTTTTCAATTCTAACCTACCTACCACGAGCCCAGTCATTGCACGCTGAAATAACACAATTCATTTTTTTTCAATTCTAACCTACCTACCACGAGCCCAAACAGTGCACGCTGAAACAACACAATTCTTTTTTTTTCCATTCTAACCTACCTACCGCGATCCCAATCATTGCACGCTGAAACAACACAATTAATTTTTTTTCAATTCTAACCTACCTACCACGAGCCCAATCATTGCACGCTGAAACAACACAATTCATTTTTTTCAATTCTAACCTACCTACCACGAGCCCAAACAGTGCACGCTGAAACAACACAATTAATTTTTTTCAATTCTAACCAGAATAATTCTATTCTTTCCAGAAGCGAGACGGGATGGCTGGGGAATTTCAAGTACTACATTCATCTGTTATTCGAAGCGAAGCGTTACAAGGACGACTGTCGCAGTGCTATGTTAATGTAATCGTCCTTGCAACATGTACTCGTATAAAACGTGTTGTTGGAAGGGAGAAAAGTAATTTAGCTCTGGGATATAATTATTTACTTCAACTCATGAGTTTAAAGGTTTTTTTACTTGTCGTTATGACCGAAAACCTGTTTATAGAAGTTTGCTCAAAATCTTAGATGAGAATTTAAATTATGTATTAACCTTGAAGAAACATTTGTTAAGATAATTTGGTTATATTATTAAAAGAACTTATGTTTTTTTACACAATATGTTAAAGTTAAGAAAAAATAATGAAGACCAAATCAAAACAGTGGATATTACCTATCAACCATTATTGATGTTATTTTCTTCATTATTATTAGCACCTGTAACTTTCACTGGTTTGATGAAGATGTGATGTTCGACGTGTTTGAAAACTTTTGTTAGTGTGGAATATTTCCAGTTTTACATACATATTTCGCCTTTTAAGAAAATTTGTTACGTAATTTTAATATAACAAACAAGAAATTGTGTGTAAAGTGTTAGTTTATTTGCGTGGGGGAATTCGAAATTACCTCATATCAGAAGCAGGGATGTTATGGATATAAAATTTCGGATCTTGATACACCCACATGGGATAATAATATGCCGGTTTCAGTTACGGATACGAAATTATTTCGGGATATCTGATATGTAATGAATAGGAAGATATGGTATGAATAGATGTAGATATTTGATTTTATGAAAAAGTAAAATGATAAAAAATAATATATCGAAACCTGTCGTATCGTGCCTTATTTAGACTTTGCAACGAATTTTAATGCAGCCTTCAGTAAGAGATAATATGTATAATATATGCCCACGAACAGAAAATATATTCTTCTTCGAATCAAAGCACAGGTCCTTAGTAGTTTGATAAGGAAGATTTTTAATTCTTGTAACGTCCATCGTGGCGCTGTTTAAATTTCAATACAAATCTTCTTGACATTTGACACGTATCGAGATCGAATTAATGCGTCGTGTTATGTCATACTCTGCGACTGTGAGAAGTCTACAAGTTAGAGTAGGATGGATAACAACGACGATATTATCAAAAGTTGTCCTGTTACGGATACGGCTTCGGTTTTTTTTTATTTCGGATCCCCATAACATCCCTAATCACGAGTTCAGTCTAGACGAACGACAAAGGATACACATACGAGTATATGTATCTTGGAGTACCTACGCATATTCAACTAATGGTAGAATGAGACGCGTAAATGAAAAAGACTCGTAAAGTTATTTATTTACGTTGAATGTAGATGTTGAAATAACAAGTATACTCGTACAATTATTCTGTGTAGGGTGGGTGTAATTCTGAGAGTGAAACCTTTATGGTTCTTTTCCCACACGGCGATGATAAATTCATTGTTATTTGAAAAACAGATGGAAATATATATTTCTTTTAAATCAGGGCACAGTTAATGTGTAATAATTGTTCTTTTTTACTCACATCCAATGTAACACACTTAATCTTTCATACGGTTTATAATTGGTATTTTCAAAAACTATGAAACGTTTTTAAATTCTTTTTTTTTTACATTAAATTTGTTTTCGCCGCGGGTGGTATGGTTTATTTTAATTTTATTCATAAAAATTAATTGATAATATTTATTTATTAATTTAAGAGTGTGCTTGTAATTTATTGAGTGAAAGTGTAATCGTACGAGACTGTAATTAATTTATTAATTTAATTCTATATTTTCCTTATTTATGAAAGGAAATTTTAATTATAGTAAATGTTCTTTATTTCAAATTTATTGTTCTGGTAAATTTAATTAAATTTAAACTAATAAGGCGTTCTTTTATGTAATGTTATAGAAAATGGTGCGTCAGATATAAAAGAAAATATCAACTTACGTTAGATTATAAAATTTATTTGACGCCATCATTTTTTCGGGTTTTGATTTTAGGAAATGGTTTTTATATTTTATGAAAATTGTAATATTTAATTAAACATTAATATAATTTATTATTTCTGTTATAACTTGCATAATATTGTAGTCATAGTGAGTAGTGTCAAAATAAAATTATGTTGTCTTGGTGGGTTTGTTTTATTTCACCAAATACGTAAACTTCATGAGCAGAGTCTGTGCGGAAAGAGAATGGGCGTGGCGAAAAACGGAACTAACATTAAGATTTTTATTTGGCAATCAAACCTAGCAATCTGGAAAACGTCAAAGTTTTGTATCCATACGGATTTGTTTGTTGTTGTGATTTCTTGCGGTTTTTTGTATTTAATCATGTCTAAAAGGGGTAAAACCTTACAAATACGGTAGAAAAGCTCTACAGCGCCCTCTAATCTAAATCCCATTCTCTTTCCGCACAGACTCTAATTGCTTTTAATGAACTTCTTGACGAGAGTGGTATGTACGCCGGACTTTAAGGTGTCGCCTACTCAGAATTTCCGGTTTCGAATACCGGTACGGCAAATGTTTGTAAACTGACACAAGGATTTATTATACATTTGCATTTATTTACCTAATGGCTCAGTTACACTTGGTTTTTTGCTCGAATTTGGGTGCACAAAAGACATAGCTCGAAAGACATATTTACACTAGAATACAGTGTCAGGTAACCAAAACGAAGACTACCCGAATAGGGGCTTACTCGAGTCCGTTAATTTACACTCATGGCTCAATTATGGTTGGTATGGAAATTATGGTTGTTATTAAACAATATTATGGTTGAGCGAAGCGATGTTTCGTTTATGCGTCATGCTTATGAACGGGTGCTGCCAGCGGAGATGAGTCTGCTCTTGCTTCATTGGGTACTATTAATCGTACTAAACTTAAATCGTTATTTTTTTTTGTCTAAACAGTAGGACACTGCATTCCTAAACATTCCTAAACTTTGTTAAACCAGTTTTTTATTTTATAGTCATATTTTTTATATTATTTGCATTTGTAATGGAATGTGACTTTATGAGTCACCTCATCTTGAAGTCATTTTTTAATTTAACGACTCTGTATGTAATACAGTGAGAAAAAAAACAGCCCTTGCTGAGTTTCTTGTCGGTTCTTCTCAGTACAAGGTCTCCCGCCGTAGATTTGCGAACCGATGGCGTAGCTTTTCGATATTCACAAGTGCTTGTAACAGCCTAGACTGAATAAACGATATTGAATTTTGAATTGCATTTGGTCGATGCCCCGAATACGACTGCCAATGGAATTCGGGTAAACGACTAGGTAAGTTCATTTACATGAACGGAGTCGAGCACGTCCGTATTCGAGAAGATTTCGTTTAGATTGTAAATATTGCTTCGGGTGTCCGAATTGGAGTATTGTCTTCAGAAAGTAGTTGAGCCATTACTCGTTTAACCAAATTCCATTTGTTAACGCCATCTATCCTTCGAAGGGAGTAGCTACAATCGGTCCATCATCATCGTCCATTCATACATTCATTTCGTACCCATTCGTTACTTCATTCACTCATTTTGATTTATATAGATTCACTCTCCCTCTTGCTATTCGAATTCAAAAAGACAACGTACGCACATAATTTTTAATAAGATCTGTATTTTACTAAGAATAATATTCTAAAATCTGAATATCCGATTTTTATTGAGACATCCACATATAGAAGTCACTAAGCTATCGAACACCATTGAAAATCGTATTCGGGCTAACGATCACGTGTAATTGAGCAATTAGCCACGGATGTTTAAATTTAGATAAATATACTTACATATGGGTATGTATAATGTATTTTTTATGTTATCTTAGTATCATATAACAGAAGCCTTATTAGTTTTAACTCACTTTGGGGCTAAGGTAATTTGTGTGTTATAGTTTTTATTTTTTAAGCATGTAACTGCTTGATCTTTAAATCTAAAGAAAATATAACTAGAAAAAATTCCACGCGGACCAGGCAGCAGACGGGACTCGAACCCGCACCCTTCGCTATTCAGTAGAATGTACTGACCAATTATGCTACCGCGGCCCTGACGGCCGCGTTGAAATTCTTCTAGTCATTCTAAAGCTGCAAGGCAGCGCCATTCCTCCGCATTGTAGGTAACCCACAATGTCAAATGAATACTTTTACAAGTATTTAAAATTTGCAAGAAGAAATAGAAATTAAAGTTATAATTATTATTTATTTAAGCATGTAACTACTTGATGTTTAAATCTAAAGAAAATATAACTAGAAAAAAATCTACGCGGACCAGGCAGCAGACGGGACTCGAACCCGCACCCTTCGTTATCCGGGCGAATGTACTGACCAATTATGCTGCCGCGGCCCTGGCGGCCGCGTCGAAATTCTTCTAGCCATTCTTAAGCTGCAAGGCAGCGCCATCTCTTCGCATTATAGGTAACCCACAATGTCAAATGAATACTTTTACAAGTATTTAACATTTGAAAGAAGAATTAGTAATTATAGTTATAATTTTTATTTTTTAAGCATGTAACTGCTTTATATCTAAAGAAAATATTATTAGAAAGAAATCCACGCGAACCAGGCATCAGACGGGACTCGAGCTAATTATTAATTAGTGTGTGTTAAATAATATTTTGTAACTCATGTATTATTATTGTACTTTCGTTATTTTCTAAGTGGAATCAAACCTGATTCCTTTGCTTCCCAGGCAAATGCACTTAGCGCGATGCTACCCAATTTGCTGTACCCTTCATCACAGGCCTTTCCTATGGATGGAATAGGGAGATTGGGCCATGACCCACCACGCGGGCCCAGTGCGGATTGGCTGGTGCTAACGACTGCAGATACAGCCGGGACCAACGACTTAACGTGCCTTCCGAAGCACGGAGGAACTCGAGATGGAAGGTTTCCGGTCACCCATCCAATGACCGAGCACTGCGAAAGTTGCTTAACTTCAACAATCGCAGCCAAACGCGCTAACCACCTGCGCCATCGAGCTCCTCTGTACCCTTAGCACGAACCAATTACGAATTCTAATAGTTAAATTCGATCACGATGCGCGTCAAATGACAAGAAGTTTTGTATGGAAATTTGAACAGCGCCGCAACGGACGTAACAAATATTAAAATTCTAAAATACGTTCGTGCTAAAGGTACTGTACTACTTATATCGACACCTGAGACCGAAGCTTGGAAGTCATGTTCACGTCCTCCAATCGTAGGTCCCTCCGATCCCGTCGGCCTAGGCACGTCTTAGAGTACCCCGACGACGAAATCACCTGAGTCAACGCGCCTCCGACTCCTCCCACACAAGCCACAAACACCTAGCACAGCTAGCATACTTGCACACTAGCTTAACATTAGACAGACACCACACCCGTAGGATCATCGCAAAAAAAATACCATTTGTCGTATCTCCTCTCTTTGAGAACACTCCTCTAACTGCCTCAGCTAGCATTGGAATTCTTGGCGTTGACATATCGAGCGACGTGCAGTTTCGGGATCATTTAGAGGGCATGGCCAAATTGGCCTCTAAGAAGCTTGGTGTGCTCAATAGATCGAGAATGTACTTCACACCGGCCCACCGACTGCAACTTTATAAGGCACAGGTTCGGCCTCACATGGAGTACTGCTCTCATCTTTGGGCGGGGGCACCCCAGAACCAGCTTCTCCCTTTAGATCGCATCCAGCGCCGAGCGGTTCGAATCGCCGACGACCAGGACCTTTCCGATCAGCTTGATCCTTTGGCTTTGCGTAGGGATGTAGCTTCGCTCTGCATCTTCTATCGCATTTATCGCGGAGAGTGTTCTGTGGAATTGTTCGGATTAATTCCAGCTGCTGCATTTCGCCATCGTACATCGCGACAAAAATTTCATCCCCATCATCTTGATGCGTGGCTATCCACAACCGTGCGTTTTTGTCGATTTTTTTTTACCAAGTACGACAAAACTGTGGAATATGTTGTCGCCAGCAGTGTTTCCGGACCGATACGACCCAAAAACCTTCAAAAAAAGAGCGTACTCCTTCCTTAAAGGCCGGCATCGCATTTGTGATACTCCTGGTGTTGCAAGTGTCCATGGGCGACGGTGATCACTTACCATCAGGTGAGCCGTCTGCTCGTATGCCACCTATAACATAAAAAAAAATAAGACTGCTAAGACCCGGTCTACACACGATACGCTTTACCAGGTATAGGTACGTACCTGGGCGTTTTTCCCCGGCCCCTACGAAAACGGCTAAATAAAGCCGAGGTCCGAGTCTCAGAGACGACCTCTAGATGAGCCGACCCCCTCGTTTCGAGTGGTCTAGAGGCTCCAGACGGAGAGGAGACTTCCCCTGTGGGGAGATGCCATCCACCTGAAATACCTCTAGAGGCACTCGCCAATTCTCGGCTTGAGGTCCCCATAGGATCTCGCCGTCCCCAAACCCGGTAATGCTGTAAAGGTCATCTGCGACCAACAGCATGCACACTCATAAAAAAAATCACATGGATTTTTTTTTAATTCTGCGGAGCTTGCATTGCATTTTGGAATTTTCAATATTTCTCTTGGCCACCATTGGCTTACAGAATAGTACCTTAGGACAGCAATCCTTGTCCTATAATATCGGGGTTGCGCAACAAATATTGCCAGTCGTCGCCCCAAACCCGTTGACGCTGTAAAGGTCATCTGCGACCAACAGCATACACACTCAAATAATAAAAAAATAAAAATGTAAGTCATGCTCGTCCATAAGCGGCATTGGAATGGAAAATTGAGGTAAACATGAGGCAACTTAGGCTGCAAAGCAGCGCCAGCTCCTTACATTGTATGCAAAGTACAAAATGAAATGATACAATGTTATAAATATCGATCTTATATTCGAAAGACGAAATAGCAATATTGTAAATAAAATAAATATATATTTCCAACACTTCCACCAAGTAGCCTAGCCCCAAAGTAAGCACTGAAAAGCTCGTTATAAGATACTAGAGAAACGGATAGAATACATATATACAGATACATATATAAGTATATATTTTATGTAGAAATACATATAGACATCCATGACTTAGATGCAAATGCTCGTATTCATGATACTAACATTTGCCTCATCAGGATTCGAACCCGAAATAAATAGTATAGAATAAATAACATTACAACAGATGCTTTATATTTGAACGATTCCC